GCTGAACTACTTCGTCAGGTGGAAAGGCTACGACGCGTCGCACGACCAGTGGGTCCGCTTCGACCGCGTCTTCGCCCCAGACAAAGTCGCGGAGTTCTATCGTAGGTACCCCGGCAAACCACGGCACATCGCCTCCGCGACCTTCGACACAATTCCTTTCCGATCTATGCGTCGGGGCGCCGCATTCAAAGGGGGGGGTGATGTCAGGGGAACCTCCCTTTCGGCCCGTAATCGACCCGATTCCGACTCCGGTGATCGCATCACCGCCATCAATCGCATCACCGCCCCCGCCTGGCGATCCCCCTGGGACCTGGCCTGCGACATGGCGCAGGCATACTGCACGGAGCAACGATCAACCTTGGCGCGTCAAGAGCGCAGTATATAGTTCAGCTACCTAGCAGGCGGACCCTTAGAGTTTCTTCTCTTTGGATCCTCCCCTGCTAGGTCAGCTTCCTTTGTATTTGCTTACTGTTATTCACTCTTTGGATCCTCCCCTGCTAGGACCTTGATCTCAGGCCTCCGGGGTTGCCCTTACAAAGGGAGTTGATTCATCATACAAACAAGTGAAACGATTTATGGACGCGAACGAGGGCACACCAGTCACTCGTCGCGGGGGACAAAATCCTCTGCCGGAACCTCCGAATGCGCCTCTGCTAAGGCCGCGGTATCGGACAACCGCGCGAGCAGCTCTCCTAGCATTTCGTCGCCAAGTTGCTGGATTACCTCGTCAAGGATGTCCACATGGCGAACATCGGCGGGGAGCGGGCAATCCCGGGCCAAGTGGTTGGGGTCGCCACATCTGAAGCAGGCTCGACGAGGGGCGCCCCGAGCCCTAGTACGATCCAACTCCATAGGGACGGGAGCCGGAGGTACCGAGACGGGGGCGCGGGCCGCGGGTGGCGCAGGTGCGGCCACCGGGCGGATAGGGAACGGAGTTGCCGAACGAGCGATAGGGAATGCGCCACGCGGAGCCCCCGAAGGCGTCCGCGGGGTGGTCCCTTTGATGAGCTTCGCCCGCACCAAGGCTTCGTATTGGCGGAAAGCCCGAGTGCGCCAGCCCAGATAGTCACGGAGGTCTGGGGGGTCGTTCGAGGACGTGATGCCATTGTTGATCAGGGGGTCAAGTCCATGGCGGTACTTGGTCAACTTAACCAACGTGTCTTCGAATCCGGCGAGGTCCATTAGGTCCTCGAAGTCGTCGGTGTATCCGTAGACGTCCCGCGTTCCCATGTGGTAACCCGCACTCTCCAACTTGGCAAGCGCAAGGTCCTGCTCGTTCTCCTCAACGAACCGAAGGCGGAACTCGGAGAGGAATAGGTTCCACCGAGGGAAGGGGAAGGGGGTTTTGCTCCCATGACGCTCTGCCCACTGCTGAGCAGGTCCCTCCGCCATATAGGACATGGCATAGCGGACGGCCTTTTCTTCGCTCGGCTCTCCGTTGACCACGAAGGCTTCCGGGGCAAGCCGGGCGTAAGTCTTGACCGCGTATAGGAAGGCGCGGCCGCGTTTGCGATCTCCGTTAAACGCAAACGGGGGGTTTGGTCGTAAGACCAGTTTTGAGGCGACAGTAATATCGCCAAATAACGCATCCGCGTCGGGGGCATTCGGAGATGCCGGAAGGCGGTTCAGGAGCTGCCGAAGGTGGTGCGGCAGCGGAAGCCTGGGAAGCAAGGTGGGTGAGGATATTGGTGAGGTTGTCTAGTTTCGCCTCAAGTGCGTCCATGCGCGCGTCAGCGTCCGGAGCAGCTCCGGTAGACATAGCGGGCGTAAAGACGACAAGAGCAGAGGAGGAGGGGTCAAGTGGCAGGGGCGGTGACGAGGGGGGTACGGACTCGTACTCCAAGCCTGAATCAGCGCCAAATCTGGCAATCTTGACCGGTTAATCCCGTAGAGAGTTTCTTCTGCTGTAAGGGCAACCCTGGAGACTCCGACGAAAGCCTAGCAGGGGAGGATCCAAAGCGTGAATAGAAGCTACGGAAATACACGGAGGGACCGACCTAGCAGGGGAGGATCCAAAGAGAAGAAACTCTAAGGATCCGCCTGCTAGGGCGCCAACTATATACTGGTCGTCCGTAACTGCCGACGTAGAGCGCAGAAGGCCTGAGCGGCGTCGCAGGCTCTGTCCCAAGGTGATCGTTGGGAGGGTCTTGACGGATCGGTGATTGTGCGGGCGAAGGAGGCCGAGGACGATGGTCGGGGTGGGTCGGAGCGTCCGAGGGGGCGCCGATCGGATGCGCCTCGGATGCGTTCGGAGGGTCCGAAGGAGGCCGAAGCGGGGGTTCCTCTGACAGTTGCAGCCCAGATTGCAGCCCACCTGCGGAAGGCACCAGCTTGCGACTCTCCAAATCGACAAGCTCCCCTTGTTATAATCACCACCTTTTGTGTATTTTGTGATCATGTTCACATTCAATTCGGGATTGCATGTCCTGATATGGTCGTTGAGGTTGCTCGTCGATGCATCATAGCAGGCATGGGTTACGAATGATAAAGCATTTCCGTCAAAGTCAGAGAAAGTGGGCAAAATACGTAAACATGCACTTTTTACAATGAAACTCATACTGGATGATAGTTCCACTACACTTTATAGTCGGGGGCAGTACGTAGTGCTTGTAGCAGGTGGTATCACTAGCTGACCATGCCTTCACTTGAATTACTATAAACACAGTCAGTGCTTATAGAGTGATATCATAAGCCTGTCAGGGGAAGCCCCCTTTCGGCCCATTGGACGCGTCCGATTCCGGTCTGATTCCAGTTCTGACTCCGGTCCGGCCCTCCATCTCGCCCGCACAATCACTGATCCGTTGACGCCCTCCTGACGGTCGCCCTGGGACCTCGCCTGCGACGCTGCCCCCAAGCCTTCTGTGCCCGACAGCGGCAGCTACGGACAAGCAGTATATAGTCAGCTACCTAGCAGGCGGACCCTCAGAGTTTCTTCTCTTTGGATCCTCCCCTGCTCGTCTCCCAGAATCCCGACCTCTCGCCTTCGGACCGGTGAATGGCCAGAAGGATGGCGCCCAGGTAGCGGCACACGTCGGGCAACTTCCCGCGATGCGGTCAGGGACTCTAGCGAGTTCACCAGCCGGAGGTCTGAGTCCAGAGAGCGCATCGACGACAACTCCGCAAGTGCGCGGGTCCGAGCATCCGGGAAATCCCCGTCGGACGAATGAACCGCCGATTGCTGCAACAGCAGCACGCCTAACGGTGACAAGCGCTAACAGTGACAAGCTCTGATCGGCAGGCACAGACAGATCCCCATGCAACCGGCGAGACTCGGCAATAGCCCGATCCAAATCCCACTCTTTCCCGAACCACAGGGAGACTCGAGGAAACGACGGTACCTGGAAACCCATGGTGGGATAAGAAGGGGGGCGGGTCTTACCCGCAGGAACGTGCGGCCGGGACGACACTCCTCCTAACGGGCGATCGGCGACAGGAGAGATCGGTCGGCGGAAGTTGGGGCGAGGTTTCGGAGGGAGCCGTCCTCGCGACGCCAGATGAAAGAGGAGGGGAACGCATCGAATAAAACACCGAAGTAGAGGTGCTGGAGCCCGAAGACAATTGGCTGCCATAGGCCGGCTTTCATCAAGCGGTCGAACTCGCCTTGCCACAAAATTTGTCGAGAAGACGATGATGGTGGAGGTACCACAGACAAGGCTACGGGAGGCGGGAGCTCGATGCGAGCGGACTAAGGGGGCCAGACGGGGGAGTAGCTTGGAAGAGTGCTTGGCGGCGAGAGACGGAGGCAAGTCATCCAACGAACGAAGGGGCTTGAACGACTCCCGGTACGACGGGTCTCGCCCCTACGCAACAGGCCAAAACAAAGGAAACTCGACGAGCGACATCGAGGCAAAACGCACGAACAAACGACCAGGCTCCGAAGACGGGGGAATAAATAGATACTGCTTGTCCATAGCTGCTGCTGTCAGGCACAGAAGGCTTGGGCGGTATTGCAGGCCAGGTCCCAGGCCAACCGTTGGGAGGGCATTGATGGATCTGTGATTGGCGCAGACTTAAGCGGGGGTTGGACCAGAAACACAATCGTCTCTGGAGGCCGAAAGGAAGGTTCCCCTGACATCCCGTCACAATGCCAGATTGCCTGCAGGTGAAAATTTATCTTAAAATTACCTATGTCATTTTCCGGAAGATATTGTTTATTAATGTTACAGTATATATTGCCCACATACAGTATACTGCCCATAACATGTCAAAACACAAAAGGAAAGAAAATGACATTTTGCAACAATTTTGCAGTACCCAATGCTCTGTGTGGATAAGGAGTGACTCATGGGATGGGATAAGGAGTGACTAGTGACCGTGACCGTCGCATCATTTCTCCCCATCCTTCATCTTCTGCTCGCCACTGCCAAATGAGCGCCAACTTGTGTCGTTCAGTCCTATTGTGCTGTGCGTCGGCCGTCTGCGCCGCATTCATTTCCTCGCTAAGCGGTCCTAGGCTTCCTCTCGCCACCCGCCACCGACTCCGACCATGAGCCGCTCTCGCGCAGCATGACACACAGCGAGGCGCCTGGATGGTGCCGGCGCCGCAAGCGCTATCGTGACCCGCGGGAGAAGGCGCTGGACGCGGAGTTCGCCGCGCGTGAGTACGTGCGCGACGCGAAGACGGGCCGTTTCGCGGTGCGCAACCCGCCCGGGCCGGTATTGCAGATGCTGTATGCCCCGCTGCCGGCGAGCTCGGAGAAGCCACTTGCGGAGCAGGGCGAGGAGGAGCATGAACATGAGGAACCGGGGCACGATGTCGGGATGGAGGACAGCACAGGTGGGGAGTCGGAGTCGGAGCAGCGATTGGAGTCGGTGTACTTTTCGTGCGAGCTTTGAGGTGCGTGCTTACGATTGGGTCTTCCTGCGAGACTGACTTTCCACCAGGCATTCCAACGGATCGCGCCAGCTAATACTTCATTGTTTGGTGCGTCGATCAAAGTCTCTATCATCTGGCTCTTGCTGAATCTTGCGCCAGAGACGGCCAGGCTAGTTATTAGAAATCAATATATTTCGCCTCGCCAGGGCACAACCTTCTTATAAACACCAAACACGCCGTCTGCATCCGCATCCGCTTCCACGTCGCCCCAGCGTCGCTTGCCGTCGCTGCGCTTGGAACTGACCGAGCCACTCTTGCGCGGGAGGTCATGCACGTGACGGTTGCGTCGCCAGATGCCCACCTCGACCCGCGCAGTGTTGGCGTCCTCGATCCAAAGTGCGCGGATCAGACCTTCCGCGCGGGACGACCCGCTCCCAGCGAGCCTCGCAGGAGAGCCGAGGAGGGCGGCGATCGGGGCGAATGGGGAGGTGAGTTGGGCGTGCGCAAGCGTCAGGGCAGTGGGTCCATCCCGTGCTGCTGTTGGAAGACCAGGGGGAGGATTAGCAGATGGTGCGGTGTTGACGCATGGGCGGCTCTCCACAGCTTCGGAAAGCTCATGCTTTCGGTCTGCGAAAACGATGCGCCGCGTGCGTAGGCAGGCGACGTGGACTGTGAGGCCCAGCGCCAAGAAGGAGTGGAGTGACAGCAGTGTTATAAAGGTAAGCGTCGGTGCGAGAGGGTAATATGCGTGCAGTCGCCTGCCGGGCAGAAGCACAACACGGGCCGTAGCTTGGAGCCACATGTTTGCGAGACTGATGAGATAAGATGACACGAGGACCAAACCAGCGAGAACAACGCCGCTCCCAAAGAACCTGGGTGCCTGTACACGCTTGCGGCTACGAGCGAGGTAGATTGTCGCTTGGGAGACGGACGCCGGACCGGGGGAGGAAAAGACGCGGAAAAGAATGGCGAATCTGGAAAGCTGATCAGCGCGGCATGACAAAACGAAGGCAAGACAGACTGCAGCGGTGTCAGAAGAGCGGGTCGTAGAGAATGCCGTCCGTGCTGTTCTGATAGCCATGACGCTGCCACGGAGTAGGCACACAGCGACAAGAGGATTGGGAAGCTGACCAGCCATGTGATATTCGTCTGTGCGACAATTTCAGTCAGCGGGTGGAAGCGAAAGATTGGCCACGCACGATAGCGGTGCTGCCGAAAAGTCCCCACAATCTCAGGCTGTCTGAATCCCGCAGCGTCTCCGTCCCCCCAAGGCCGAGGATGTACAGCGCGAACGTCGTTGTCATCCCGACACTCAACAGCGCATTCATCACGCCCGGAATCAAGACGCTGAAGCCCAGCCATGCTCGCTGTGGCTCCTCCTCTCTCCTGCTCCGGCGCTTCGGGGGGTTGACGCCCAGCGACACAAGGAAGTCCTGTTTCCGCAGGGGCTGGAGGACGGGCGGGGGGAGCGGGAGTGATTTGACATCATGGCTGTCGTCGATATATACGGCGGGAGCGTTGGGGAGCAAGGGGACGGGCTCAGACGGAAGCTGAACGGGTGGCGGGGCAGCGGGGGTCGGGCATGCCGTCGTTGTCCTTGTCGGCTGTGCGGTAGTCAGGGGCGTGGCCGTGCCGGAGGACCCTGAGCCAGATGCGGACCGACTACCCGCGGAAGACGAGGCTGTCGAGTGAGATGTGGAGGACGACGTTGATCGGCGCGGCACCAGCGGTGTTATGGGCGTAAGCGGGACGATGGCGGGGAGGGCATACTGGGCAGTCGAATCACCAGGCATGGCGAGGGACACCACTCATCGTCGTGCGGGGCTCGATATAAGTGTACAGGCGCGGGCACTGTCAAACGAGATAACTTGATATGATTCACGGAGAAGGGGAAGGGGGCGTGATGATCAGTGTTTCTGACGGATGGCGCGGGGATGAGGGTGGGAAGGTGAACGGAAATAGGCCAACGGACAGCCATGACGGTGTTCCCAAAAGCCGTCGCCTGTCGAAAAGGCGCTGGCTCGTTGCTCGCAACGGGCTTGACGCGGAATCAGAATGGAGCTGGAAGATTGCCCACAGCCGATCGTGGAGATCCCGCGTATATGCAGTGTCGTGGCTGTGAGCAAAGTAAGTGGTTACTTTAAGGTAAAGAGAAGTAAGTACTCGCGAAAAGTTCGAACGGTTTCATGGGGCTTGAATGGAAAAGCATCAAACGCCACTACCGATGACTCAAACTCGATTCCGGAGAAGGAGTTCACGCAAGCTATCGCGAAAACGAGGGCTGAGGCTGTGCGCACAGCCTAATCCGGCGCTTGTCGCAATGATGGGGATTGGGCGGACGTGCGGTCGAGCAGTTCTGAACAGTTATGAGTCTCTGGCAGCAGGAAGCAAGGAAGCTGGCAGACTGCAATGAGTCGGTCGTCGTGGCAGCTTCCAAGAGGCTGAGTCATGACATGGCGCCGACCGACGCAATTGATGCGATTGATATCACTCCAAGCTTCTTTTTTCTCATCGGCACAGCATTGGAATGGCGGGCCGAACAACAAGCAGTGCGAAAACCGAACGAAAACCACTCAGCGGTCCTGCCCCCCTCGTCAGTGTGACCCGGTAAACCTTGCTCAGCGACGACTCCTGAACACAACTAGTGAACTACCTAGCGGCCGGCCAGGCGGGTGGACTCCGCGAATCTGCGCCGGCTGTGCGCGATATCCCGCAAAACATCATTACGCTTGGGAGCGTCGCCAGACGGCGGCCCTCGCGCGTAACGACTGCGCGAATGCGACCGTTGCAGGATCAGTGCCATTGTAGTAATGCGATCACGGCCTGTCCCGCGCTAACGCGCGAAAGTCCGGTCGCCTCGGGCGGCTATTGGAATTGTTGCTATGACCGGATCAGAGGGCTAGGAGGGCGTCTTGGCCTCCAAAAAGAGCAATTTGTAAATCAGGCAGCGCCACAAACGCCTAAATCTCGTGATCTGGTTCCTTCAAAGTGTTGCGCAGATCCTTCGATCATTGGTACTGGGCTCCGCTTCGTCACGAACTCAGCACAATGTTGATAGTTATTGCGGTACGTCGCGACGGCAGTCGCAATTAATATTCATTGGAGTCGCTGGGGTTTGCGATCCGGCGATGTGCGCAATATCGTTCCCAGCGGAGCCGTGGGCCGTCGCCGGCGCCGTTTAAAAGGCAGACCGGGTTTCACGGCCTCTTCCCAACCTCTCAGCATGCATTTCTCCCTCACTACCCTCTCCGTGCTCTTCCTCGCCTCATCCGCCTACGAAGCCCGGGCCGCACAGGTCGACTGGTACCTTGGGGCGGAATGCACGGGCGAGCTACTCGCGACGCACAGCTTCGTTGGCATGAAAGGCACGTGCCTCTCCAACGACGTGGCCGCCCGCACCGCGAAAAGCATCTCGTGGGCGGGGCTCCACGGCGAGGAAAATATCGAGACGATCCTCTTCTTCCCGACCGGCGGCGCGAACGACAACTGTTCTGGCAGCGTCCTGACGGGGAGCAATGAGACGTCGGGCTGCGTGACCGCGCCACCAGGGTGAGTGTCGTGTCGCTCGTGCTTGCGCCGTCGGCTGACGCGGAATGTGTATAGCTTCGACTGGCAGAGCGTCAGCCTTGTCTAAGCATAATTAAATATGAACTAACGTCTTGTATATTGTTCATGTTGGCCCAGAAAGAAGTCATTTTGTTGCGCTGCTCTCAGGACGAAAGTTTGAGGGCCTATGCCGTTGGGGACGGGGAATCGGACGCACCACACACGCGCGGGCCGGAAAATCGATCAAAAGCAGCCGCGGTATGCGCAGCCCTCCTCCAGCCCGGGATCAACGACGGCGCGGCAGTTTCACTTTCACAGTTTTAACTTTTAGCCTTTCGCTTCCGCTCTTGGCATTCTTTCGCACGACGCACGAAGCGGTGTGCGAGGGCAGCCGCGCCTGCTGATGGCGAGAAGAAGAAACCGCATTATGGTCCAGGCCCACCTCCGCTCTTGCCCTGGGGCGTGCAGGATGGATTAGTATGTTCGTGCTCGACTTGGCACAGTCCGTCGTGCTCCCTCGTGTTCGCGAAAGATGAGTCGCCGAGATTATAGCGAAACGCCGCCCCCCGAGTCCGCCGTCGCGCACATGCCGGCGTTGTCCGGTTCCTTGCGAGCGCAATACAACAGGTGTGCAGATCCTTCGATCATTGGTACCGGGCCTCGCTTCGTCACGAACTCAGCACAGTGTTAATAGTTGTTGCGGTCCGTCGCGACGGCAGTCGCACTTGCTAGCGGCCCATAGCGGTTTGCGATCCGGCGATGTGCGCAATGTCGTTCCCAACATACGCGTGGGCCGTAGCCTTTAAAAGGCAGACTGGTTCCCGCTGCCCCTTCCCAATCGCACAGCATGCATTTCTCCCTCACCACCACCCTCTCCGCGCTCTTCCTCGCCTCCTCTGCCTTCGGCGCCGCACAGGTCAATTGGCACCTTGGGGCGGAGTGCACCGGCGAGCTACTCGGGACGCACACCACCGGTGTCTTGCCAGGCAACTGCCTCTCCAACGCCCTGGCCCGCACCGCGAAAAGCATCTCGTGGGCAGGGCTCCACGGCGAGGAAAACATCCAGTTGATCCTCTTCTTCCCGACCGGCGGCCAGCACGACAACTGTAATGGGGAAGTCTTCACGGGGAGCAATCAGACGTCGGGCTGCGTGACCGCGCCACCAGGGTGAGTGTCGTGTTGCTCGTGCTTGCGCCGTCGGCTGACGCGGCATGTGTATAGCTTCGACTGGCAGAGTGTCAGCCTTGTCTAAGCGTAATTAAATATCAACTAACGTCTTGTATATCGTTCATTTTGGCCAAGAAACAAGGCATTTTGTTGCGCTGCTCTCAGGACGAAAGTTTGAGCGACTATGCCGTCGGGGACGGGTGTGCCAGCTCTCCAAACCCTTCGGCCCATACGCGTCGGACATATCCTTCGCCGGAGTAGACGGATTCGGCGTTGTTGCCGTTGAGTGGGGCCGCGGCTAGCGAGAATGCCGTCTGGCTGCCGCTGTGGTCTATTTGGATGCGAGACACCGCGGCTGTGCCCGGGGCAGGCTGTAGGCGGGCAGGACGGGGAATGAGGGGAGAATGGTGGGTGGTTGATAAGGGGCACGTGCGTGGCGACCGGTGACATCGCCCGATCAGGCCGGTTGCCATGCCATGCCACGTTTTTTGCCTTCGTCCCCCACGAGCCCTGCCCCGACGGGTCGGTAAGCAGCCCAAGTGCGCCAACGGCGGGCTGCTAGTCACTTGTACTACTGGGCCTGGGCGCTGTCGAGCGATGCGGAGGCGGACCCGTATTCTGCGCGCATCAGGCTTTCGGCGCATTCGAGTCAGGAAACCCAATTTTTCCTATGAGAAGCTCAGCCAAAGCTACGCAAGGTCCCGTAGCCATCTTTTCTGATGGTCAACCATTAGCTAATGGGTCATTGATCGCAGCTGATGGGGCCTCCTGGTTACCAATACCAGTTCATGATAGTTGATGGTAGCTGATGGCTTAGTGATGGGTCTGCTTAGAATACTGATGGCTACTGATCTTTAAATAATAAAGCTCACTACTGTCCAATCTTGTACTCGATAAAATTGATGATGTTAGACTTGAGTATTGATGGTAGCTGATCTGTCAGTGATGTGGATGTTTGAGAGTAAATGTGTACTTAACCAATGGTCTAATACTGAGATTGTGAAATAAAATTATATCAGTGCTGATCAATCATAGACTTGGCCCCTAATCTCTCAATGTTATCTGGATATGTATATCAGGTAGGTATCACCTCTGGTACCACCCTCAGTATTACCCTCAGTATCACCCCCGGCCCCCTATCACTATTATTATCGAGGGGGGTTCAAGATCCTTATCAGGCACATAAGGTGGGAGAGGGGGGGTCCCTAGGGGTAGCAAAAAAAACTTTTTGTATAAAGATTCTTTATTAAAAATATATAACACTCACTGTATAGCATATCCATAGTGTTAAAGAGCTCAAAGTGAGTCTATAAAGATATATATATATATGTCTTCATGCGAAGTTTGTCCAAAACGTCAATTTCTGCGCCGCTTTTGATCCCATCATTGGTCACCTGATTCAAGATCTTATCTTATCATGGGAATATTGTCAGAAATCGGCGCTTATTAACCAGGCCGCACGCCTCCGATCAAGTTCCACAGACAAGTAGCTTAACCACTACCCGAGGGTACAAAGGAGACGAAGGGGAGATAAAAGCGTGGCTACCAGCCACGCGGACGCCACTACTTAAGCACTCCTCCGGCACAGCCCTAACCCGAGCTCCGGCCGGCCGCGATCACATGCGGGACCGCGCATCACCGCACGTCCGGCACTCCCGATACCGTTAACAAATATATTACCTGATATAGTAAGGGAGGGGGGGAGGGGGGGTCCTGGAGGGTTGGAAAAAAAGAAATCTGACCCTATATCCGGGATTCGAATGTTGAACCCCCCTTGATTATTATTGATTATTTATAATAAAACAAATATTGGCAAAGTTATTATTTGATAGTAGGAAAGTAATAATTTATTATATTTAGTCTAACAAAACTAATCATTAACTTGAATAACTTCCTTATACACCATTGCCGCTGCTCCTGGGGCAAACTCCCTCCACCTCCCGTTGGAGCTAGAGTTGCGCTTAGACACTTGCTTTCCGGTCTAGTTGACTGTGGGGCCACCTCTGACTTCATCGACACGAACTACGTCGCTTGGAATGGCATTCCCGTCTGCACCCTGGCACAACCGATTCTGGTCTTC